ATATATATATATATATATTCATCCATAGTTCTTAAATCAATCACATGTAATGTTACTGTAGCGCAGATGAGAGCCCCTTGCAATCACCATCGAGCAGCCATCAGTGGCCGATTGAGTGGCCGCATTAGCAGGGTCGTGATCTGCTCTCAGGCTCATTTTCAAAGCGATGCAGGCTTGGCCGCTCGCCCACCAGATTTGGAGAGAGGTCCTCATCATCTTCAGACCTCAGCTCTGTTTGGGATCTTTTCAAATGGTACGATCTAATCAAACTGCAGTGCACTGCTGTTTGGTTTTTTCTAATATAGAATCGACTGACAGCATCCTGGACGATAGTTGATCTGATGAGGTGTCTCACGTGGTCTCGTTGTTTTCTTGCAGGTATGCTGTTCTGCAGGACCCTGCGGGCTGGCTGAGTGTGAACCCAGTCAGAGGAACTGTCAACACCTCAGCCTCGCTGGATCGCGAGTCTCCTTATGTCTACGACAACAAATACACAGCCGTCTTCATCGCCACCGATAACGGTGAGTTGCACTGTAATCTGAGTAAAACTCATATATAATCTACATAGGATCTATTTTTAGAAATACTTGAAATGTAAGCAGTCGGGTTTATCCACTGTGGAAACTTTTATTCTCGTTTTCATTGTACAAAGAACTTTTCATGGGTGATGAGTGTCAGTTCAGACATGAAAAGTAGAAACAGAGCCGCCTTTGTGACTACTGAGCACTCTTGACTTTACCTGGCAACAGTCAAAGTGTCATTTTTCCCATGGTGACAATAGGACGGCCTTATGTGGTGCTCCTGCGACTATTGGACCATATGGCGGCTGCTTGGCAGTGTCAGCCGAGCTGCTGCTTTGAGACTTTCCAAAGCACAGATGAAAGTGTCGGGAGCTTTGGCGCATTTCGCTTTTTTTCTCTTTGCTTCCCACTCTGTCTCATCATCTCTCTGTGTCTCTGTCTCTTTGTCCCCCTTCCTCTGTCTCCCTACCTTCTCCTATCAATCCATCTGGTCTCCTGTGCTCGGGAGATTCTGACAGATCCATTAGAGGAACTGAGGGATTCTATTAGTAGGCAGCAGAATAGCACTGTTGTGCTGGGGAATTCGGTAGCCTTAGAAAGATGAGTGCTGAAAGAGGAGTAATGATGGGGCAGGAGGAGAAGCTAGAAGGGGGTGGAAGGGTCAAGAAAAGAAGAAAAGGAAGGGACATAAGAGCAGATAACAAGAAAAAGATATAGAGCAGGGGAAGTGTGTGACGAATAGGTGGAAAAGAAGAGAAATGGAGAGTGGACTCAGCCAGGTGAAAGAGTAAGATCTGTGGTAAAGCCGGCAAAGGATGGATGAATGCAGGAAGTTATTGCAAAGTCTTCAGTGGAACTGACATTGTTAGCATGTAACCTCAGATGTGTTTTTAAGTTAATTTCCCATCAACTTTGAAAAGTGCCTTTTAACAGAGAAAGGTCTGAGCATACGAGGCCTCTAAAACTCCGTTTGTAGTTACTGTGTGCACGTAGACACTGCCTGCAGAGTGACGTATGCATCGCTTTAGATCCTGTTACATTGTGAGATGACATTAGGGCTGATATAAAAGCTCTGTGCACAAGAAAGAGGAACATTTTCATGTGTTTTATGTTCATTACATATAAAATGAAATATTCCGAGCCTTTTGGTTTATATTATATGTTCATGCTCATGAAAATCATCCTAAAAAGTACATTTATATACTTTTTTGGGACCATGAATTACTGCATATGTAGTCGAGTTTACCAAGTCTTTCATCAGTTTTCCTTTTTGTATAATTCTTTCTTGTCAATGCAAACAGAAAACTACGTTAGCTTCGAGCTAACGGGAGGTCGAAGGCCGAAGAATGCGGCTAAAACTTTTGCGAGCTCTCGCAAAACTTTTGTGAGATCCCGAGTTTGTTTTGCAAGATCTCGCAAAAGTCCGTCTTAATTTTTTTTTCTCCCATGTCCCCTGCGGGGCTCTGTAGAAAACTCAGGCATGACTGGCACTGCTAAGGTGCTGGTGATTAGCAGTTATTCTATTAATTATGTATCTTAACATGGTTATATGGAGGTAATTAGCATTTAACACACAGTGCAGTGTAGGCCAATCACAATGTAATTACATTTTCAAGTATTTAACAAAATCAAAGATTCACCAGAATAATGTGTTATTTTCCTGAGTGATTGCAGCTTCTGATGAGACGTTTAACTGTAAACATACATGTTAAACAACAGTTCATAACAGTTACATTAAAGGATGCCTACATGGATTTTTTCAACATTGTTTCACGGCCGACACACTGACGTCCCCTGACACACGTGCCTGTTCTGTGTACTGTATGTCTAGGCTCTAAAAAGCCTGTGCTGCTATTCTGTCTGCAGAGACAAGAACAAGCTCAGTCTTTTAAAAAACGACTGTCGATTTCTGTCGACTGTCTGTGCGTGGTCGAGAAATTTCAGAATACTGATGCGTACCTGCTTGACTGCCACCTCCGCTCTTTTCTGCTCGCTGTGTCATCAACTGGACAAATCTGTTCCTTCCCCACAGCTATCAGCACAATGATGACTGTATGACAGCCAGCCTGTGTCATAGGCTGTCATACGTACCAGCAGGATATCGATTGACCCTTACATTTTCTGGCTTTATATGTATGCAGAGACCTCGAATGAATACTATCCACCTACAGAGGACGAGGAGCAGAAAGACAGAAGGGCTGCGTTTAACAGAAAAAGGACGAGTCCTGTTTCAGGAGTGTCTGTAAACACAAGTGCAAGAAATACAATAGCAGAGAAATCTACTGAAATAAATAACAGAGGTTTAAAGAAAGTATAGGCATCAGTTTTAAAAGTATTGATGAAAATAGTGGTTTTACAGTCAGGCTGACCTGACCTGGACTCAGAATTGCCACAAATATACGCTATTACAGTTATTTTGTTTTGTGTTTTTTGTGCATGGTTAGCAGCAGATTGACGGTAGCTCCTGTTAACAGCATGAGGGCAGGTCAACTCCAGCAGCCCTCTGGGTTGCAACAGATGGTGGATGATGGTGCGAACACACCATTCCCAGAGACAGATTGAAGTCCAGCTCGAGGAAGAAAGAACAGAGTCATACATATGATATGAGAGATTTACAAAGAAACCAAGATGATGGCATTGATTTAAAAATCAATCAGCTGAAGAGTTAGCAACAGCTGAATGCACTCTGGAGGCTACGCTCTGCTGCCAGACTAATCAGTTGCATCTATAGAAGAAGCGAGCCAATCATTGGCCACTTTATAATGTGTTAAGTCGTAATCTTTGAGGGTCATGCAGTCGTCACTGTGTGTGCACTTTGTGAGTTATTCACCATTGTATTCATGTTTGTGCAGGTTGTATTGTTTCTAACGGCGTGTTTCTGATTCCCAGTTAATAATTTAAAAGCCACAGATGAGTTTAGCCTGTGCAGCAGCACCTGGCAGGCCTATGGAGCAGGACAATATTGTTTGAAGTGCTATTGTTCCAACCTGAGCGCAGGGCTTGACGGGCTGTTTATATAAACTCTCATCAGTAGCTTCTGTTTTTCAGGCCAGCGAATTCTCCTCTGCTCTCTGATTCCCCGCTGGGAGTCCAGCTGTTCCCGCATCCTACCCTCCTCCCTTTCCTTTGCATTAGTTCTTGTGGGCAGATTAAAGTTGTTTTTTTAATGTCTTTGTCGTACTTGATGCAGAGGCTCTCCGGCCTGCGCCGCACCTGCGTATCCCCTCACTGCTGTGTGTTGCGGTTCGATGTTTTCCGCTGCTCATCATTTAAATGTTAAACTGCCTCCTGGAGGCAGCCATTTGTCATTGGGAGGCATGAATACATTATCAAAGCCCCAGTCGCCTGAAACACGCCAGCACACGCGTGCAGTCTTCAGTGTTTACTGCCACTGAACCTGCGATTAAAAACCCTGAAGTTACGGGAAAAGTGGCTGAGCAGTGCTGGTTTAAGCACATGGATATACTAAGGAGAGACCTCCATTTAGACACTGAAATATTATGTGCACACACGTGTACCTGCACCACAGTTACACAACTCCAACATAGTCAAAGAGCTTTGTTAATTACAGGAATATTAAGTATTGCACACATACATGCAGCCAGAGTGAGCCTCAGCCTTCATCACAGTCACATCACATCCCCTCTGGTTTAAATCAAAAGTAGAGAGGGGATGCTGAATTCTAATGGGTCACAGATTAAAACCCTTTGGTGCTCAGACAGATTTAAAATTTAATAGTGTTTAGTCGTGTGTGTGTGTGTGTGTGTGTGTGTGCATATACATAATATGTGAATCTGTGATCTCTCTGAAAGAAAAAGTAATAACAGTGGTAGCAGTGACAGCCTGCACGTGTGCAGAGGTGCACCTTTGTGTGTCTCTGCATATGTCCATTTTCGAGTGCATTGGCTGCCCACTGTGCTGCCTCATTGCCACACTAAGTGTTGGGAACCAGTGTGCAGCTCGTTGCCATAATGGGCTGAGCAATTTCCCTGGTCGGGCAAGCCCAGATACAGAGATTTTACTGCTAAGTGTCTGTCATGTCGCAAGCACATAGTTAGCAGGCTGGCAGGCTACATGCTGATAGATAGACTCGTGTTTTGTCTTGAGCCAGCTGTGATCAGGGTCCCTCAAACAACAGCAGGGAAATAATAAAGCCTGATGAGGCAGTGGTGAGGCCAGCGCACTGGGCCTGAAATCAACAGGCAGACAATAGAAGAGAAATGCAACCAAACAGACTAAAAACGTAACCTCGTGGAGATGATTGTTTATGGAAAACCAAGTATTGTAGTTCTCCTGATCTGTTTTTAATCCATAATAGAACTCTTATTAAGGCTGATTTGGTGATTTAGTTTGTGATGAGTCTTTATTTAATATTATTAAGTCATTAAGATCAGAAGGGCTGTTAAGAGATACGAGCATAGTGAAAGCTAGAAATCAGGCATGTCTGCCTGCGACATCTTTTCAAAAGATCCAATATAGTGCAGTCGAGAAAGCGAGAGCTGAAGAGCAGTCTGCGTCTAATAGAAAGATAAATATAGTAACAGGAGACTCTGTGTCAAGAAGCCAAAAAAAAAGAGAGAGACACATGGAGGGAAATGAGAGAAAGCAGCGAGGAAATTGAAAGGTGAAAATTAAAGACATGCAGGACAAAGTAATGAAGTTTTTTTGGGGTGGAGGAACATTTCTAAAAGAAAACGTGCGACCTCATGACGTGCGTTTGACTGAGTCTTGATTATGTGGATTCTAGAAGCGCTTCCTTGCTCCCGCTCTTCAATCAATCCCTTTATGGTCACAGCCACAGAGGCAGGCAGGTTAACCACCTTCTTGAAATATGTTCTCACCCAGCCAATCGACGATGACCCCGTGCAGCAGTAGGCAAAGGTGATGCTCGTGTAAGGGAAGAGTTCAGGGTGCAGAATAAAGGCAACTTGACCCGAGGAAATGGCAGTGTAATGGATACGCTCTGTAAAGAAGATTGCAGCTCAACGCCGCCTTCCTTC